AGCCTTATGAGGTGGGGTGGGGGGTCTCCATTTTCGGATGAGGAGGCTGAGGTCTGGGTTGAAATGAAGCAGTAACCCTTAGACACCGAGTAGATGACAAGAAGCCTGGGTCTGGCCCGCCAACAATGGCGGCAGAGCGACGACTCGTAAGCACTCAATGCCTTCCCCCTCCGGATGGACACAGCTGTGTTCAGTCTCCCTTGGTGAGGCCTCTATTTACCAGTGAAAATGTAAATTCTCCTTGCTTTTGGCTTCCATTCCCCCCCAGTCACTGAGATTCCACTGAAAACCTTACTGCCTGCAAAAAAGGAAATGGAAATTCAGGAACTGAAGCCCCTGTTCCCAGGAATATATATTTCTGCAGTCTGTCTGGTGTCCTTTCTTAAAGATAATTGTTCCAGAGCTGCTGAGACTAGTTTTGTTTGCCAATGGACACTCATGAGCTTCTACTTAAAAGAACGAGATTTATAGATTTTTAACTAGATCTAGGTAGGAAAAGGTAAGCTGTTTTCCTGATAGGTTGAACTCTTTTCATTCAATAAATCATTTTGATATATGATTTTTGTCTGATCTTTTCTTTCCTTTGAGATGATATTTCTGATTTAAGCTGAAACATAAATTGTGATAATTGGCAGATGGCTCTGAACCTGGGTTTTGTGGGGAAACAAATGCAAACTTCCTCGCCACAGCCCTTACTCCACCAGGCTCTTCTAAAACTGGAGCTGACACCATGTTTGTGGTTAAGCAGAGACTTCTAACTCCCCCCTTAATTTGGCAATAAACACTTGGCACTCTCCATCTCTGGAGTTGTTAAACGATATTCATAGTTTGAGTTGCCAAACTAATGCTGATCCTGAAAGCTTTGAGAAAGTATTCCAGTACTTTTCGAGGGTTTTTCCAAATTTGACGGGTATTCTGTTTTTCTGATCTTCTTTGGCCTGTCCAGTGTGAATGTTACGACTGGCCATACCAGCTTCCTCTAAGTAGTGTCTGGGTCTTAGTCGTGTTCACAGAATGATGTTCCATAAACCCGCAAGCCAAAAGCCTCATGCATAGTCACACCCACCTGGTCCCACCTGCACTCGCAAAGGGATCGCCAGGATGATGCACAGCGCTACACTGGATGAGGGCTTGGTGAGGTCACATCTGGATGGTATTCAGTGACATTTCAGTTTCAACATTTCCACCAAAGCTAGACAACTAGACATGCATATCTGAGTGTTAATTTCAGAGACTACCTGAGGATTCTCCTAGACCACAGTGGCCCGCAGGTCACACTGAACACCAGCTGTGACGGTCTAAGGAAGAAATAAAATGTGCTCATTTAAAAATTAAGATCTCGGGGCTGAGGATTTAGCTCAGTGGCAAAGCGCCTGCCTGGCAAGCGCAAGGTCATGAGTTCAATTCCTGGTACCAGAAAAAAAGACAAAAAAAAAGAAAGTAAAAATTAAGATCTTTTTAGACAGATCTTTTGCAGATAGGAGACAGGGCCAGGGATGGAGGGGAGAGAGACAGGGGAATAAAAAATTAGGATATGTTAAGCCCATGCACCTATCCCCTAGGATGAAAGTAAACGTTATGTACTGCAAACATGAACCAATAAAAAATTGGAAAAAAACAAGAAAAGATCTTTGAGGGGGCCTGGAGAATAGGCGTTGGCACAGTCAGCTCCCAGGATCGCGATGGGAAGTGGGTGTGCACAGAAAGTGAGCGGAAAGAGCTCTTGGGAAGTTCCACTGCCAGGCCTTAGGGAACGCCCCCACCGGGGACTGAGGAATCCCTGCTGGTGGTAACACTGCTGTTTCCAGCTATCTGGAGCATAAATTTTTTTGAAGATAAAGCAAACTGCAGTGTTCTGGGAAAGATGGTAACATAAGATACCAGAACAGAAGAAGTAAGTTTAGACAAATTATTTAGAAAAGAAGCTGAGCAAAGATAGTCATTGCGATATTTGAGGATGACATAAAGCTCGTGTTAGAAATTTTACAAGCACATTCATCAATTGGTGTGTTTCAGACAGCCCCCATGCTAAGGGAAAAAAAGCTGATAGGTTTGTTGCAAGAAACTCTGAAAAGTATAGACAGCAAATTACCCTCACTTCCTAAAGTAGCCATAGTTATTATTGGCTGATATATGTCTTTGTGAGTGTTTAAAATCATGAGATTCATACTGTTTTGTAGCCAACTTCTTTTTTAAAAATGGAAGTATAAGTCCTAATGTCAAATTTATCCATTTTAAGTGTACAATGAATGATTTTTTAGGAAATTGACAGAATTGTGCAAACCTGCCACAATCTAGTCTGAGCACATTTCCCTCTTAGAGCCAGTTTCTTTCACTTCGTATCCTGTGAACATTTTTCTGCATCAACAAACTTTCAGGGCTTTGTGATATCCCATTATATGGATGTGTCCCATTGGCACCCGTACTGGGCCAAAGAGGCGATATATTTAAAATTTTGATTTATATTGCCAAATCTGCCTTCCAGAAAGATGGCACAGTTTCCTTCCCAGCAGCAGTATGTGACTGTCCTTATTTTTTCATACCCTTAATATTGAGTCGTTAGTTTATTATTCTTTGCCAATCTGATGAGAGAAAAATATGTTTTTCTTAAATATACAGAAAATCACTGAGGATCAACATCTTTTACACATTTATCAACTTGTTCTGTTTCTTTGGGGGGGATTGCCTGTTTTTCTTTTTAAATGTTAATCTTTTTTCTTTAAACCTCTTTTCTTTTAAAACCCTCAAGGTCACTAGTACTTTCATATGAATTGCAATGTTTTCTAAAATTGTCTTTTAGCTATGTATAAATTTTTTAAAATTTTACCCATGGATTGGATAAAATGTGTATCTGCCGTATGTATTGGAAAATTTTGCATCTGCACACAAAATTAAAGCTCGTCCCACAGTAGGACATTTTTAATTAGGTATTAATTTCTGTGCCTCCAGTTAATACACATTTATTTAGTTATTACTAAACGTCATGCACTTGGCCAAGCAGTGGGGACTAAGCGGCCAACAGAACAGGGCAATCCCATGGAAATACGAAATTCGCATTGCCCCATTTCTTAACTTTTCAACTTCCTGCAGACTTGCTCAGAACTTTACTTTCTAAACTAGAACTCTTAGAATTCAAAATAACTGGCCCATGACTATTTTCAGCAGGCCTGTGACATACTATAAAATGTATGGATTCATTAATAAAAATAACATTCACTCAAAAAATAGTTGTTGGGTATCTATCTACATGTCCAGTGCTGTTGACGGTATTTGAGATTGAGTGCCAAGCACTGTGGACCCTACTGGTCAAGAGCAATTTATTTTAAATTAAGTAATTCTACCGTCTAGGAAATCCAATTTTGTCAAAAATGTTGTCATGCTAACAATTTTTATTAGTGTTTTTTGTTTGTTTGTTTGTTTTTTCTGGTACAGGGAATCGAACTCATGACCTCGCACTTGCCAGGCAGGTGCTGTGCTGCTGAGCTAAATCCCCAGGCTATTATTAGTCTTTATTAAGCCAATAGTGATCAACTTCTGACTATGCCAAACTAAGCAGTTAAAATAGGCTTTACCTTGTATAATCTCCTGTTGCATGGATTGAGGGGAAATGTTTTCCAAAATTATCAACATTACCAACTCCTTAAACCATCTTTCTATACAGTAAAGTCCTTTAAATCCTATCTCAGAGATTTTGGTATGCAGAAGTTTGTATACACTCTGTATAATCAGCCTCATTCTTTTTATTTTTTAAAATGGTCATGGTGGAGCGTGCCTATAATCTCAGCACTTGCGAGGCCAGGCAGGAGGATTGCAAGTTCAAGGTCAGCCTTGGCTACAGAGTTCAATTTCACGCTAAACTACATGGCAAGACCCTATCTCAATGTAACAACAACGAAAGGTTTGGTAGCAAAAAACATATTAAAGTAAAACTCCAAGATGAAAATTCCTTCCTGTCCCTTAAAAGGGGGCAGGTCATTTTGACCTTCAGTCCATTTTATGTGGAAAAGATGTGACAGTCAGTAGAGCAGGAGACATCTGAAAATCTGAGCTGCCCACTACAGGAGAAGCCCCGTCCTCGCCCAGGCCCCCAGTGGGAGGGTCAGTTCACCCCTTTCCCCTCCCCAGAAAGTTCTGTGGTGGTAACTCCCTGCTCCCTACACATTCACACCCTAAGAAATACAGAAGAAGCAAAAATGAGATGCTTGCTTTAAAAAAAGTTGGGACCTTCATGTCCCACACGTGTGATGGCAGCCACAGGCTCAGGACTGCCAAGCCAAAGGGAGGAAGCTAGGTTTTAGGAGCCATGTAGTAGGGGGACAGGAGAACAGGAAGGATGAGGTAGTCTCAAAGGGGAGCACAGATGTACCTGGGAAGGCATGGAAGGATGTGGCAGATGAAAAGAAACCACTTCCACCCCTAAAAGCAAAGCCTTTGTAACACCCAACAATTAATAAAATGTCCTGAGATTGACGTGTATTCTTATCTTCAGTAAATGATTTTATTTCACCCAATTATTTTCTGGTAATGTCATTCAGGAGTGGGGGGACTGTATTTTGCTTTATAGTAATTTGTTTTACTTGGCTGCAACATCTCTTTTGGACAGAAGTGGCCACCAGGATTAGTATATTTCATACTCTCAGATTATTGCTTTTAAAGATGACCGAATAGAACCAGCTGCTAGACTACTGCACATACTGAATTCCTTGCTGCTGCTGGGCACTGGGCATTCAGTTCACAGCTATGGCTGCTTCCCGCTGTGAAGATCTGAACAAATTGCCCCACTGGCCAGCTGATCTCAGGGTGGCCTATCTTAAATAGATGCCACTTGGATAAAACTTCATAGGACCCTAGAGCAAGGGAAGTTAAAGGATTAAGGTGTGATCTAGCTCAGCCACCCACACATTTCCAGTGATGCCTGCAGGATCTACAACTCCTGCCCCAGCATGAAAAGCTCAACACGCCACAGGTGTTCCACACACAAGCCCCAAGATTTTGCTTTTTATACACTCTTTATTGGGTTGCTTGGGTGGGGATGGAGAGGACAGAGGAAGATGCCAAAGGGCTGGTTTAGTAGGGGTGATTCAGGGTGTGCTCCATGATGGTCAGAAGTGCCAGCCACGTCTCCTTAGCTGTGGGAATTATCTGTGAGGCTGGCAGCAGGAAGCCATAGCGCCCAGTATCCCGGAGCTCAAAGGTGTAGGAGTACTTGATGCCCTGACTGTAGGTCCAGTCCACAGTGCTTCCACTGGCTTCATCTGGGCAGGAGCAAAAACAGAGCAGAGCTAGGGTCAAGCACTTTGGAAAGATCTGCAGGGACCAAGTTAGAGGACCAAAGCTCAGAGCCTTGGGCAATGCTAAGCAGACTCTGTTCTACCAAAGTCTGCTCTAGACCAACCAGCCTGGCTTACAAGAAACTCCTACTGAATCTAAACCCAAGATCCCAAAGAAGAGACCAGGAATGGTTGCCTTATTCACCGGAGGGTGGAAGGCTTGGGAAAGCCTGTCAAAGTCACCTCACTGACACTTCTAAATTACCAGAGTTTCCTGTTTCGGTGATAAGATTTGATCCCCCAGGGCTCGGGTCTGCAGGGGAAAGTGCAAACATTCCAAGACATAGCAAAAGTCCTGTGTCTTTCTTCCAGGAGGAAACTTTCCCAGGCTTGCAGTGAACAAGATGTAACAAAGCCAAAAGTGTTTTCAAATTGAGCTGGGGACAGGGAGGTGGGCTGCATGTTAGAATTTAATTGAATGCAGCAAAGAAGTTTGAATAGGAGTTGAAACAGCTTCTAAAGAAGGCCTAGGATCCAAAATATGGTCATTTGGGGGTAAGACTGTGACCTCCTCACCCCCTAAAACCTGGGCAGATTACATGAGGTGGGAATGCGGGGGTCCCCCTCTGGTTACTGTCCCCACTCCTCCTTCCCGTACTCTGAGGCAGCCACACCAGTTTTCTGGCTATTCACAAAACACCCCAGGCCAGATCCACACTGCTGCCTTTGTTCTAGGAAGTTCCTTGGCCTGGAGGGCTCTCCCCTAGCTAGATAGCCTCTTGGCTCCCGCTTCAACATTGGCCCAAATTCCCTTCTGTCATTAAACTGCCCTTCAACCTCCTGCCCCTTACTCCAATATTTAACCTCCATCCTGGTACCCCTGGTTCCCCTTGCTCTGCTCTGGTATGAACTTTTCCCCCCAGCATTTATCACCGAACATATTCTACCATTTTCTTAAGTTCAATGTCTATCTCCCTCCCTAGAGTACAGTTTCCTAATCTTTGCTTATTTCATTTACAGCTGTATCCCAGGCACACAAAGCAGGGCCTGGTGCGCACGATGCTCAATAAACATTTGCTGATGAATTCCAACTTGATGTGGTAATGCTGCTCCCAGGGGTATCGCATGTATACTATAAGTAAGTGGGGGTAGAAGTTGAGTACAGTATATTCCCTAATTAAAAAGCATTGAGAAGTGCTTGTTTGTTTGGTGATCTACAAGTCCTAGCAGGACTTTCCACACTATCTGTGCATGAGGCTGAATTTGACCCCAAGATAAGAGAATAACAATGCTCAGACGACCCACAGGCTTACCAGGAAGTCTAAGGAGGTAGAGTTCATGTCAAGAAAAAGCTACTTCCCACCCCTCCAAATGGCCAAACCAGCAGGTGCCACTCCATGAGGGCCTTTCTGCATGCCCGTGCCACCCAATCTGGCACCCTTGGTGACTTCCTTCCATGAGGAATTCTCCCTGTGGCAGGAAGAGCCAGCTTGTGTGGTCCTGGAACCACCCAGAAGGGCCACATGGCTACTTACAAATTGTTTTGATGATGCTGCCATACTGGTACTTGGTCCCATACAGAGAGGCAAGGGCTGTCACGGCGGACTTGGCCAGCTGATCCTACAGAAAACACCACACAAGAGTAGCCTTGAGCCGGCAGGGTGGTCCAGCAGCAGGTACCTGTGGAAGTGCCCCCATCCCTGCCAGCACAGAACCCACTTGGCTACAGGTCATCCCTGGGGCTTAAACAGTGCCATGGTGTTCTGTCTCTGTAGGATGAGTGGCTGGCACTTCCTGGCCCTTCAGTCATACCACAGCTCCAAATATAGTGCCACAAATTCAGAATCTAGTGCAGCCCCTTGCTCAGTCATGCAGCAGAACTGACTGTGTGCCTCCGTTTTCACAACCCCACCAAATGTGGTTAGTTCACCAAGCCAGCCAGGGAGTCAAGGGATAAAGGGCATGCTGGGCACACATAGGCCCTTAGCCCTCAAGCAGCTCTGATGGGTAAAGTTCCAGGCAACCTGTAGCTGCCCTTGAGACAAAAGGCAAGCAGGGCCCAGCACCCACCAGCTCTTCCTTGTCAGGGGCATCTTCGCTTTTATAGCCATAGGGGTAGAGAAGGAGCTGAGAGTAGCTGTGGATGGAGATGAAGGCCTTGATGTTTCCATGACTCTGCACGAAGTCTACGATAGACTTGACCTCCACTTCAGAGTTAGCGAACTTGCCATGGTACGTGTCTGAGCAGGGGTTGCTGCTGGCTCCAGCCTCTGTGGGAGGGGAGAGGGCACAGCTGACATTCTGTAAACCACATGGTATGGCTTTCATGGTTCCCATTTCTTTGCATGGAGTTGAGAGGAGGTGGAGCAGCAGGAGCCCCATCCTTGGATTAGGGAAAGGCCAGAAGCCTCTTAAAACCTCTCATAACCTTGCCTCCTTTCCCAGCTAGGTTGGGACAGAGCTGAGATGGGTCCTTACAGTGCTGTGACCAAGGACGTAAGGAACTGAGGTGAAGCCAGAAAAGTCTGACATAGAGTTTTGGACCTTAGTTCCATCTGGTCAAGGAACTTGCATTTTACAGATGAGGGCCCAGATCTCCAAATGCTGCCTCTGGCTCTGAACGCCTCAGAAGCAGAACAGTCTCCCCCTCGTCTCTCCCCACTGCTGGGGCAAAAGTGGGTAAAAGCCATTCTGTCCCACCCTTGCCCCCAAAGTTGCACTGGGCCTTACTCCCAAAGCCAGCATCCCAGTTCCTGTTGGGGTCCACCCCGACACAGGAGGAGCCTGCTGTGAGGGAACGAGTCTTGCGCCACAGGCGGTTCTGCAGAAGAAAGGGAATCAACCAACTCATGGCACATAGGCAGCATCAGATGTGGTCCTTACCATGAAACAGAATAGGACCAGGAAGTGAGATCTGCAGTCGTGGATCTCAGTGAGAGCCAGGAACTTCTCTCTGAGACATTTTGCAGTGGCTGAAGACATTTTTGGTTGTCCCCACTGGTGGTGTGTGGGGTGGGGTACTACTGGCATCTAATAGGTAGGAAGTCAAGAGTCTGCTAAACACCCAGCAGGCGCAGGAAGCCCCCACAACAAATAGTCAACCACATAAAATATTTCCAGCGCTCAGCCTGACAATCCCAGGGCCAGGATGACAGCTGCTTGCGTCTCCCATGACCCTGGACCCTCACAGGCATATCCTGCTTTCCCACAGGACAGAAGGGCTATCTAGACCTTGCTGTGGGTGAAGGCAAAACCATCAGGGTTGGTGACAATCTCCAGGAAGATGTCCATACTGTCAAGAATGGCAGTGAAAGCTGGGTCTTGGCCATAGTCTTCAGTGATCTGGAAGGGAAAGAGAGGGGAAAGGGCAGAGAGGCAGCCGGGTGTCTGCCATGCTACAGCAAAGGATACCATCCCTGGCCTCCCACTGCGGTCACCGCTTCTGGAAGGGAAAGGGGAAGCCCAAGCTTCTGTGGCCTTGAACTCCAGTGCCCCACCACGTGAGAGCGCTCCTCGCCTTCCCAGCCTTACCTTCTTGGCGAACCAGACCCCACTGGCCTGGGTGACCCATTCCCGGGAATGGATGCCTGTGTCGATCCAGATGGCTGGACGGTTGTTCCCTCCTGTGCTGAACTGGGGAAGAGGCAGGGAAATGGGCAAGGGGCAACTTCACAGGTTGACCCTCATCTCATCCTCCGAAAGGGAACCCAACCAGGCTAGACGCCAGCTGCTGAGTGCCTCAGGTTGAGCCTGTGTTCACGGGGCCATCCTTGGACATGGGGCCAAGAGCTGGGCCTGGATCCCATAGAGCTTTGCCGCCTGCCCTCATCTCCTACTTGGGATAAATATGACTCGGTCTGACTTCCAAATTCCTGCCCTGCTCAGTTCTCTGCAGAAGGTCACCAACAAAATGTTACACTGGGCTACCCAGGGTACCTTTTATGTTGTGATACTTGGTTAGAAGAATGTGGAGCCCTTAAAAGTTTAAATCATCCATGTACATGTGTGTGTACACCTGGGCCAGTGTGAAAGTTTAGACCTTCAAAAATATCTGCACAGGAAGTCTGCACAGCTGTGATCCCTGAGACTGTGGATTCCGTACGCGGGTACCTGCGTACACACGGGGTGCCCATTACCTTCAGCACATAAATGGGACGACCTTCATAAGTGTTTCCAATCTGGATCTTGCTGACCAGCTGTGGGTTCTCAGACACCAGCAGGTCCACGAAGTCATGGATCTGAGACGGGAAAGAAGGAAACAATGACCTTAAAGGCTTCCAGGCACCCAGATGCCTCTTTCAGCAGCTCTGTGCTGTGATAGAGCCATGATCTAGACCAAGCTGACCACCTAGAAAGAGCAGGGCCACCCACACCCAGCCGGGGCCTGGCTCTGGCCCACATTCTGCCAGAAGTGATGAAGAGTGTGGTGCTTGTGGGAAGTGGCCACCAAGGCCGCCCTTACCTCCTCCAGGGTGTGGTAGGTGGCATAGTTAAAGGCGTCGGTGGACCGCACCCAGGTCCTGGGCTTGGAGGAGAGCATCTGCTCCTTTTCCTCATCCAGCAGTGACTGCACGTCCTCGATCATGATCTTGTACCTGATCCCAAGAGACTCCAGGAAGACCTTGACAGCCTGGACACTGGAGAAGGGCACTCGGACATCGATGGGGGAGCCTGGGTTCGTGGGGCCTCGCCAGAAGTCCAGCTGGGGAGGACAGGAGCCAGTACTGTCACAAGGGGTTGGAGATAGCAGCTGGGACATCAAGCTGGGACAAAGCCAGCCTCAGAGGGGGTGTTGGTGCCATATAATCGGGGATGGGGCCTGCGTGTTGGGGACAGAGAAAGAAGGGGAAAGCTGGGGGACTGGACAAAGAGCAGCGTGGTCAGGGAAATGGCCAGGAAGCAGAACAAAGGGACCATAACACCGAGGAAAAGGAAAGCAGGTCCAGCACTTTGCCGGAGGCTCGAGGGCAGCAAGATGGATCCGAGGGGTTGAAGTCACTTCCTAACAGGGATCCATCCAGTGACTCCTTGCTGGGAGGCTGGGACCACAGCCAGGTTTGGGTGACTACAGGGAGTCTGGGGAGGGCTCAGCTGGCCCGGTAGGGTCCCCAGAGGCCTCCTCCCCTCCTCTGACCTTCAGATGCTCCAGGTCCTCCAGCTCCTTCACCTTCTGCACCTGGGCTTCATCAGCTGCAGAGATTCGGAGCACCTGGTGCCTGGCAGAGCAGGAGAGCTTTAACCACTCGAGCGCCCAGCCCTGCTTCCAGCACTCCCCAGGGGTGAGCTGTGGCCTGCAACCCAGGTTAATCCTGGCTCCTTCGGGCTGAGCAGGTGAAAGCACTAGAGGTCTCAGCAGTGGGAGGCCAGGCCCTCCCCAACTGAGAAACTTCTAGTCTTTATTTCTGTCCCTTTTGCAGTTTAGACTATAGTATTTCTCCCAAGCCATCCAGGCCTCCTCCCTCCCTGAAAATTCCTCTTTAGAGCTGAGATTTCTCCCAGCTTGGTTAGACAAGATGGGACAAGACAGCTCCACTGCCATGGAGCCAGTCCGCATGTCTGTCTTTCTCCTCCAGACACTATCCAAGGGTAAGTCCTCCCCATCTCCCTGCAGGAAACCCCTCCGCCTTTCCACACCCCGTACCCCACAAAGTCCTCATTGCCAAAGGCAACTCCGAGCAGCACAGTGAAGACCAGCAGCCCCTGCATGCTGCAGCCAGTTGGGAAGCCAAACTGAGGCTGTGACTGAGGCCCGGGGCTTTTTAAACCCAGGACAGAGGTCTCCTGGCTGGGCCTGAGTGTGTTCTCCCTTGCACCTGGATCCTGTCCCACGGGGAGGGAAGGGTGAGAGTTCCAAGCTCTGTCACCTTCTCACCACCCCTGATAACATGGCAGGGAACAGGGCAGCTGGGGAGAGAGATAAGCTAGGCCTCCACCCCCAGCTATGGCGGACAGCTCGGCTCAGGCCTTCTGGCTGGGGCTCTTCCTGCTGCCCACAGCCCCAGACACCTGAGCTGGGCTCTGATCCTTTTTGCAGTCTGGCCAGTAGAAAAGGGGCCAGAACTCCAAGAGGCCACACCGGCTGGTTCCTTGTGTGAGGTGTCCCCCTCTTCCATGTCCTGAGCCCCAGCCCCTTATTCCTGGGGTAGAGCAAGCTGGTGCCTGTTGAGGGTATCCAGCTCCCAGGGCCACTTGGCTCCTTCCTAGTCTACCTTTGTCTAGCCTACCTGTGCAGGGCACATCCTCCTCTCACGTCCAGGCCATTGAAGGGGACTTCCCAGTTCCACTCCCTCTGGCCACAGGTACCTCCTGGGACTCAGGCCATAGCAGCAGCCCAGCTCTCCCCAGCCCCACCTTCCACCCCCACCACTGTAGGTCCCTGGGATTAGGGGTGCCCTTGGTGGGAACTGGAGCCAGGGGTCATCTGAATGGAAAGGATGGTAGGAACCAAGGCCAGACCCATTTGGGGACTGCACAGTGTATAGGAGAAACAGGATCCCACTGAAAGCAAGTCCTTCTGCTCTGGATGCAGATCTCATTACAGAGACATGTAGCCCAAATCTGCTCTAATCCACAGGGTTCCCCAGGGCTCCTGGAACCACCTGGGTACTCTGCTCTGTGTCCAATGACAACCCAGATGGCCTTTTCTGGTTTCCATCTGTCTCCCCACAGCACCCGCTACCTGGCCTGCCTTCATATACCAAACACAGTGACTATAATATATGCCCACAACGCTTTCTTGAGCCTAACTCTAGAAGACGTCAAACCCAGAATCCCTGTTTGGCAGAGGTGAGGTCTTCCCTCTGCACCCCAGCTGTCTGTGCTCCAGTCTGCGCAGGGCTCAGTCTCCAGCGCTTCTGCTGCTGCTTTTTTCCTGCCTGCTTCTTCTCAGCGAGCTCGGCCCTTTGTTCCTTCAACTTTCTGGCCCAGCCATTGAGCTCCACACTGCCAGGACAGCCAGCCAAACAGTCCTGAACTCAGGGAGCTCATGATCTAGGACAGAGGAACAAGCCAACCTGTTGGTTCTCCATCAGGTCACTGAGGACCTGCTCTCAACACAGGCTTAGATGTACAAGGGGCTCGGGGCTGCTCTTCTTGTTACAGGAGACCCAGACAGCACACTTTCTGAGACATGGTAAATGGTGGTTAAGCTAGATCGTCAACTAGATTGGCTTTGGGATCCACCTGAAGGATGGATTAAGCACTATGTGGGTGGGATATGACCTTGGGGTTTGTGCCTGGTCCCTTGTCCCTTTCTGTCTGATGCTACCTCCCCTGCTTTGCTTCTGGCCGAGGTGAACTAAGCAACTCTGTCCCTCCACGATGTTTCTGCCTCAGAACCAGTAACCATGGACTAAGCCCCCCGAACATGACCAAATTAAAGCTTTCTTCCTTTAGGTTCTGGGTGCCTTGTCCCAACAGTGGGGAAGCTGACTCAAACATGGTATGAATATTACCAAGAGGGCTTCAGAGTCATACAGTAGGCACAAATGGTGGCTCCCAGGAAGGGCGCCTGTCACCCATACAGTACCTCATCTCTCAGTGCCCTGCAGTTCCTTGAAGGTTTCTCATCTGTTGCCTGGCAAGAATTAAGGTTTGGAAAGCCTTTCACCAGCTCGCGTGAGGAAAGCAGTGTTTCTTTTTCCATTTCCAGATATAAAGAGGTCTTACAATTTTTAATCTCCCTCACACACACTTCATGCGTTGGAAGATGTCAGCTCGTTCTTGGGCCATCTATGAACTCCTTCCAGAAAAGACAAATCCTTTCACAAAAAGGGAGGCCTGGGAAAGGGCACAACTCATCAAGAGAGGCTTGTTCTGCCTCCAGCCTGCAATCAGAGATGCTCAAATGTCATTTAATGTATTTTTTGTGAGATTAGAAAAGATGAATTCAATGCTGCAAGCTGAAACTAGGACCAGCACTGGCCAGAGGTTGATGCACAGCAGTGAAGGACTTGGGATCTCAGTGCCCCGGGCCCCTTCAGAGCACCCCCGGGAGCTGAAATTTACCTCTTAGCAAAGACTAATGTCTACAGTGTAGCCAGAGCAGGGGCCATAGTTCTGCCTGCCTACGGGACTGTTCACATTGGTCCAAAACAAGGGTGAAAACAGAGGCCATTAGGCTGAAAGCTAGGAGCACGATGCCTGTGACCCGGAACAGGAAACCACCAGGCTAGGATCTAGACTCAAGGGTGAGCTGCTGGCCAATTGGAGGCCTGCTGGAGCAGGCTGACCGCTGGTCACAGCATGCCTCCCCATTGCTTCCATATTATCTCCCTTTGGCAAGTGTTTAAGGTTGTGTGTGATACTGTTGTGCATATGGAAGACAGAGAGGTCTGTGAGGACTTGGGGCAGCCAAGTGGGGCACAGATCTCATTTGCCCTACCTGGAATCCTCTTTCTTCTGATAACAGCACCTTCATTTTCCTTTAGGGGCCACCCCTTCTCTGCTCGGAGGCCACATGATTCAAGAGCCAACAAATTCCATTTTTTTCCCCAAACTTTTTCAAGTTGGTTTTCTGTTTCACATGACTGGGGGAAAAAAGTACACACCAATAAAAAGGCATTCTCTAACTTCAGAGGAGAGCAGAATGGGACAAGAAAGGCCTAAACAGATTGCTACAAGCCCATCAGGTGACTCCAGGCAGGTCTGTTCACCTCCCAGGGCCTCAGCCTCCTCATCTATAAAATGGGGACCCTTCTGAAAGCTTTGATACATACTCTGCTATTCTAGACATTTGAGTTTTTACCCCCAAACAAATCAAACTGTGGAGACAGGCCTGGGAAGGGCAAAGACAGCCTTGGCAGGTTTGTGCGAAAGTCAGAATCATGCTACCTAGTACCTAGGGCCACCCAGTGCCTGGTATCCAGGGTAGTGCAGGCTGAGGTAGACACATCTTGCTGCGGCTGCTGTGGTAGGAGTGGAGGTGGTTATCAGGCTGAGGAGCATCGTGGGGGGTGGTCAGGGGATGAGGTCCAATTGGCAGCATCCTTTAGTTTTGCATTTATAACTCAATGCCTAGTAGAGCCTATTGGCTTGTTTGCTTTGAGGTTGCAGAACTGTCACTATAAAGTGGCTTTGTGGCATTTGTCCTCAGAAATAGAGGCAGAATTTCTGTCTGGAGGAGAAGCCACCTGCAAAGAAAAGCAGTCTAAAGTTCAGGGTCTTTAGGAAATGGTAACCCAACCCCACATCTCAAAAAGGAGGCCTGTGGCAAAGAGCAACAAAGCAGGGATGAACCCTCATGAAGGGCCCTGGGAGTGCTTTGGCTGAGCCTGAGAGAGGGGTGGGAGAAGGCAGACGGGCTGCCCCAGCAAGGTGGGAGCAGACAGAGGCACACTGGGGTTACTGCAGGAAGGGACATGAACCACCAAGTCTAAAACCAAAGGCACTCAAGTTTTTCAGTTTCTATAAAGTGTTTCACTTGTGTCTATAGGTACAGCTTTATGAAGTGCCCCTCCATGATCTTACCATGCTTCAGAGGGAGGTGGGCTGGAGGCAGCACTGGGTAGAACAGCAAAAGCCCAGGGCAAGAGGTTACCATTTCTGAGGACTCTCTCAGACCCTCGAAGGACAAGTTGGAAGGCCCAGTGGGCTGGAGTTGTCCTTCAGGTCACCCACCTCCCCTACCCAAGAAGAACATTATTTACTCCCTCCGCTTGAGATGAGGCAGGCCTGTTCCACTCCGGCAGGCCAACTGGGGGCAGAGCAGGAGGAAGTTAGCAGTGTGGCCGCTGTGTTCAGGGCCCACGTCAAGCAAGGACAGTGGACAGACCCAGGGCTGCCGCCCAAGAAATGGATTTCCTGGCAGAAATCAGGCCTGGCTGTCAAACAGCAGCAAATGACAGCAACAAATGATCTTTTGGAGAGGTAGGGGTGATGTCCTGAAGGGCAAATTCAAGACAGAATTTCTGGACCTTCGAGGTTCTTGGACCCTTGGTATTTGGGGAGGTCCTTGGAAATGGTAACGCGTCCCCTAGATCCATCCCACTGCGTGGCCCCTGGTGGCCTCTTGCTCTCTCAAACAGCACGTCAGTCCAGCCTATCCAGCTTTAAAGCATACAAAGCATATACAGGCCCTGCACGCTGGAGCCTCTGACGGCCTGCTGTGTGCCTGGGCCTTCTTGGTTTTCTAAAGGAAACTTTAAAGTTTTAATTTAATATTGTTAGGTAAAGTCATGTTCTCTGTGGCCCTTTCTCTCATTACAGTGGTCAGAGGAGAGACAGAGGAGGCTGGGAGAAGCAAGCAGCACATCGCCAGGCTCCTGGAGGGCCACCGCTAGCTGTCACCCCGGGCCTCAGCTCCGCTGTCTCACGTAGGACCCTCATTCCACACTGCCTGACCACCTTGTTTTCTTAAGAAAGCTGTAACTGCGGCACATTCACTGTGGCTCTTTATGGCTTTCCATATGTGTAATCGCTCTTTCTCTCTTCAGTTTTTCCAGCTATTTTTTCTTTTATATAAATGCTCATAAATTTTACTGGTGAAAAGTATAAAAAAAAATACTTAAAAAGAGCAGCTTGTTGGAAAGAAAGTGGGGAGGGGGTGTGCGAAGCAGAACGTAGAAAAAAAGCTCCGCGTTATGTACTTAATAGGAAAAAAAATTTTTCAGATTTTAGGAAAAAGAAAAGATTCCTCTGTAATTTCCCTGACACTTGCCTGGTGCTCAACTGAGCTGTTGCTGGGTGTACTCAGACCCCGGCTGTTCTCTCCTGTGCTGCGCTGAGGAGACCTGGCGGAGGCCCCTCAGGCCTGGGGGGAGCAGCAGCCAGCTGGCACTAGATGCAGCGACCTCTGGCTGCATCTGTGGTCTCTCAGCTGGCAGGCTACATGGGCTACGTGTGAGTCTCAGGATCCGGAAGCCCCAGGGGGTTGGACTCAAACATCTGGAAAGTCCTATGGTCTTATGATTAACTAAAGCAAGAAACTGGCCCTGAGGCCCCTTTGGATCACAGTTCCCTGCCCTTCAGAGAAGCAGCCATAGACTCTGTTGGCTCCCTTCCCTCTTGCATTCTTCCCTTCCTCCTTATCCACACAAGTCCACTTCTTTTTGAAGCAGCAATGTGCCTCCAGAGTTGCTGCAGAGCAATTTCCCAGCCTCTCTTGCAACTGGATGTATGTATGTGATGTAATTCCAACCAACAGAATATAAATTTAAGCTAAGCATGGTGGTGTACACCTGTCATCCCAGCACTCTGGGGGTGCTGAGGCAGGAGGATACCAGTTCAAGCTCAATATGGGTAACGTAATGTCTTAGCAAGACCCTGTCTCAAAATGTGACAATGTAAATAAGGGCTGAGGATATAGGGAGAAGGCCCTGTGTTTAATCTCCAGTACAGGAAAAAGATAGACAGATGATGAAGATAGATAGATACATAGATTGATAGAGCGATAGATCAATCAATAGATAGATAGATAGAACGATTGATTCTTTTAAATCCATGAACCAGACAACTCAGCTTGCTCATGATTTTGCCTCTTGCTCTTCTTGACTGCCTGAAATTCAACCATAAAATGGAAAAGGAGCAGCTGTTTTGCAACTAGAGGGTCAAAATAACCAGGTCAAAATAATCATGACCTTTTAGTCAGCCACCATCAAAGGAGGTCCCACAAGAACATAATAGATCTGAAAATTTTCTATGACCTAGTGACGCGTAGCCACCAGAACGTCTTTGTAGTACAACATATTATTCACGTTTGTGGTGGTGCTGGTGTAAACAAATCCACTGCACTGCTAGTTGTATAAAAGTACAGCCCAGGCAATTATGCATGGTATATAGCACTTGATAATGATAATAAATGACTATGCTACTGATGTATTTACTGCACTATACTTTTCAAAGTTAGTTTAGAATGCACTTCTTCTACTTATTAAAAAGATGCTTGCTGTGGAACATTGTGCTGTGCTATGCCAGAGGCAGCCTCACACACCTGTGTTCACAGTGTCTCTGGATTGCATCATTTTCTCGCCTCTGTAACCCTGTGCCCTTTGGCCCCCACCCTCTCTCAGCCTGTGCTACTCTACTGAAAATTAGGACACAGCAGTAGTCCTTCGCATAGACCTGAGAAGAGGCAATGCAATGAGCACCATAGTGTATTAGGAGACACCTTGGCACACAGTAAGTACTAAGACAGAAACTAGGAAGGCTGTCAGAGCCCAAATACTCCTGCCTCGGGGCCAAGGCTTCTTCAGTTTGGTCTGAGAATCACCTAGCCCCAACCCCGCCAAAGATTCCAATTCATTTTGGGGCTGGAACCCAAAAGCCATCCTATAAACAAGTCTCCATGGACGCTGCTGCAGATGGCCCATCGGCCACGCTTGGACAGGTGGTGACAGAGTGGTTTTGGTGTTAGACAAACCCAGACACAAATCTTGCTCAATTTCTACCTGTGTGGCTTTGTATGGCTTTTGAAATGTCTTAAGGCCCTGCTTTGTTTTTATCTGAAAAATGAACATTAATATTAGTAATACCCTCCAATGAAAGTGAAATAAAAATACTTGTGTAGAGGACATAAAAGTTATAATCAGACTCCAGTGTGCAAAGGTATAGCTCATCTTATTTATTTATAGCTTCTATTAACATAGCCCATAACCTTGTATTTCCACTAACAGCAGAAAAAGTTCAGGCTGGAAATTCTAGCACAGCTCACTCAAATGGCTTCCAGTTTAAAAAAAAAAAAAAAAAAGTCTCCTGTGGGACATTTTAACCAGACTGGGAATTCTTCTGCAGATATCCAGGTTCTCCAGGGCCTCCACAGGCACAGCTGGTCCTGGGCACTCACATGCTCAGTGGATGTCCACAGTGCCACCAAGTTGCTGGCTGCATGGCCCTGGGGCTCGGCCTTCTTGCCTCTCCTCGAAGCCTCCTCACCTGCCAGGTCCCTTGTGTCTTTGCTCAGAGCTCTCAACAGCTGCACCGTTGTGCTGTGCCTGGCCATATGGCTGCTTCAAATATCTGCTGAGTCTCTTTCCTCAGCCATTTAATTCGCTGTGAAGATACCATAATGGATATGCTCCTTCCCTGGGGTTTGGTCATCCCAGACCACTTCATTCCACCAACTAGCCCAACAACTCCTCTCTTTACAAGCTGAATGGAAAGGAGGGGGCTCTTCTTACTTCATTCTGCTTTCTTCCCTGTCTCTGTGTCCTCCTGGCACTTGTCATGGGCATCCATAATCTTCTCTCTCTCTGTCTCTCTCTCTGTCTCCTCCCCCCCTCTCTTACACACACACACACACACACACACACACACACACACACACACACACACAGAGCCTGGCTTTTACAAACCAAATTCTTCCTCTTGAGACTAGTGTTCCCATTGCAGTCTTACACAAACCCACTCAGCTCTTCAGCTGATGTCTTGCTTCTAAGAGCTGTCTGGCTGCCCTGAGGACAAAGCAGGCAGACCCTCCATCCCTGCTCCCCAGTGCTGGGGAAGGATGGGGAGGGGAGAAGGAACCTCATTAGGATCTGAAAATAGCACCCCTTTAGCTCTTTTTTAGTTTAATTACTTTTATTGGTACACTCTAGGTGTGCATAATGATCACATTCATCAAGGGGAATTTGTACCTGTATGTGATATATCCTGATTCTTCTTTTTTCCCTGACCCCCTTCCCTACCTTCAACCCCTCTTCCTCTCCTTATTTACAAAAGCATTGTTTCCATCTATTCTCTTTTTTTATCTTTTCCCTTCTTTCCTCCCTCCCCCCTCCCTTGTTCTCCTTCCCATTTGAACATTTTCTTCCTATTTCCCAATATCTATTATACATTTTGGTCCTTATTTACCCTTTCAGTTTCTCATACCAGAGAAACAATGTGATATTTAAACATGTGTGTCTGATTTATTTCACTTAAGAGTATGGTCTCAAGGTGCATCCATTTACCTAGAAATGTCTCAAGCTTACCCTTCTTTATGGCAGAGTAGTACTCCATTGCATTAAAAAATCTTCTTCATCCATTCATCTGTTGATGGGCATTTGGGCTGTTTCCAAGACTTAGCTATTACAAACTATGCTGCTATAAACATGGGTGTGCATATATTGCTGTAGTATGATGCTTTTAACTCTTTCAGGAAAATACCAAGAAGGGGAAAAGCTGGGTCAAATGGAACCTGTAGTTTTAGTTTTTTGAGGAATCTCTACACTGATTTTCACAGTGGTTGTACCAGTCTACACTCCCACCAACAGTGGAAAGAGGTTCCCTACATCCCACTAACATTTGTTATTGATTTCTTGATGACAGCTATTCTTTCTGGAGTGAGATACAATCTCAGTGTTGTTTTAATTTGCATCTCTCCGATGACCAGTGATGTTGTACAGTTTTTTGTATATTTACTTCTTGTTTGTACTTATTCATCTGAGAAGTGTCTATTCATTTCAGATGCCCATTTTTGGACTGGGTCTTTAAATTTGGGGGTTTGGGAAATGTTTCCCTTTTTGCATTCTTTATATATTCTAGATATTAGTCCCTTTTCTGAGGAACAACTGGCAAAAAAATTTTTCCCACTGAGTGGGTTGTCTCTTCACTCTGTTCTTTCACTAGCACCCCTTTAACTCTCAAAGAGAACATGCCTACTTACCTATGGCCTGGGCTGGAGTAGGTGCTAGATGGTCATAAACCAGTGGCTGTTCATATTCAGTTCTCGGATTAGTGAGAGTGGTCACCTTAAAATGTGCTCCTGCCACCTCCCCACCATAGGAAATGAGGCAGGTGGAGGTAGAGGCTCTCTGTCTGTTGAGGTCATGTGACTACCTTTCTCTCAAAGGTCCAGAAATGCCCCTACCAGGATCTCTACCTTTAAGTCAAACACCATCCCTGTATGGTCATGTGAAATATCAGTACTCCTGGGACAATGTATATTTTAGTAGCTATCCAGGGGTGAGTTACCTATTTTGGCCCTAAGATCCCTGAAGATGGCTAGGCCTGCAGGCCCCTCATTTTCCTGAAGGCAGGGAAATAGGGCAGTGAAGAGGGTCCCCAGGCATGTTAAGCTGCCTCTGGGGCTGCAGAGCAACCCTCTGTCTCCTCTTCAATGCTGAACCCACAATGCCAGAGGAAGCAAAGCCTGTTCAAACTTATATTTATTTCTCTGCAGTCTGGGCAAAGGTGTGGGGAGGGGATGCATAACCTGGGTTTTAGGAGGAGCCCTAGGCCTTGGGGAGGAGGCAGGTTTTGCCTGCTGTACTCTCAGTAGTATTGCTAGTAGGGGTGATTCAGGGTGTGCTCCATTATGGTCCGGATCGCCATCCACGTCTCCTGAGCCGTGGGGATGATCTGTGTAGCTGGCAGCAGGAAGCCATAGTGCCCTGTGTCCCGGAGCTCAAATGTAAAGGCATACTTGATGCCATTGTCATAGGCCCAGTCCACGGTGACTCCACTGGCTACATCTAGAAACACAAGAGCCCCAAAGATTCCCCCAAAGGAAGGAAGGAATGGGGTCTCAGGGTACAGGGGCATCATACGTGGAAAGTGAACCCTGGGAATCAAACCCCCACCCAGCCCAGAGCACATCACACTTCCTGGCCCAGGTTTCATCCTGGGACACACCCTGCCTACCCAGCCCACCTCTTCCCCAGCAAACAGCAAGCCACAGAGGCCACAAGGCTGAGGCTCTTTCCCTGCAAGGAACTCTGCAATAAGCCAGGCTTCAGGAGCTGTGCATTGATACCACCAAGGAGCAGCTGCCTGGGAGCCACTGTCCACCCTACTCCCTAGTTGTGATAGGCAGCTTTGGCCCAGACCTGCTAAGCCTGTGGCACTGCTATATGGCCAGCCAGGCCACCAGTAAGTTCAGTCTGCATCTTCCTGACCCCAGGTAGATATGGCATCTGGGGCAGTCATCAGGGAGGCTCACTCACAGAGGGTGGTACTGATGCTGCCAAAAATGTACTTGATCCCATGCACCTCATACAGAGCCTTCACTGCATCCTCGGCAAGACTGTACTGCAAGACAACAGCAGAGAGGGAGTGTCTGGGGCTCAAAGTGGTTCCCACACTCCCTGCACGCTCAGCAGCTGATGAGAAGTACAGACTTAGTCCCAGAAGTTGATGGTGCAGACAGCTCTTCTGAGAAGGGAACACAGCACCTCCAGCCTTGAACTTGATGCAGAGAAAAACAAGCTTCCCATCCTCCCAAGTATGGGCTCTAGCAGTCAGACCCTCATTTTGAGGAACAAGAGCCTGAACCCTCCAGAAATGTGTCAAACAGATTTTCAAGGGAAGAGGTCTCCTCCCCCAAGCCCTAAGCAGCCAATATTACCAGTTCCTTTTGGTTTGAAATAGGTTCCACAGAGTGGCCATATGGATACATGAGCATCTGAGAGTAGCTGTGGATGGAGATCAGAGCCTTGAAGTTCCCATGGCCTGTGATAAAGTCCACAATGGCGGCCACCTCTGGCTCTGACTGAGGTGACGGCCCATGGTATGTCTCTGAGCAGGGGTTGCTGTGAGAGCCATTTCCTGGAAGTAAAATAAAACCACTCAAAGAGTTGGAATTCCCGGGTGGAACAGAGACAGTCCTCACAAAATATTCATCTGTTCCCTGATGTTTCCCAGCCTCCTTTGCAGTTTGGTTGAGGTCATGTGACAACATCTGACCAATGAAAATGAGCAGAAATGATGTATCATTTCTGGGTTGAGTCTGTGAAGGGCAGGAATGACTTGCACACTCTAATCAGTTTGCCTGGCTGGAAGCAAAATATTTTAGATAAAAGTAGCATCCCAGGTCCCTCTGCCTCCACTAGAAGAGAGTTGCCAAGGACAGTCACCTACCCACATTGGATTTTGAGTGCATGCAAAATAAACTTTAATTGCATTAAGCCATTGAGATTTGGAAGGGGTATTTGTTACTGCTGCACACCGACACCTCATATATCAGAGATACAGAACCACACTATGACCCAGCGTTATAGTTTGTGTCTAGATGTCCCCCCCCACACAAGCCTCATGCAGTCATGGCGGGGTGGGCTTCTCAGAGGTGGGTGGATCTAGAATGTGTGGTGCTGAGATTTAGGGTATGTGATCAGTCAATCAGTCCACTGTTTGGTTTGACATAGTTCTGGCTAGGATTAAGGCTGGATGTGCTAAACCCACCCTAGGGCAGGTAGCCTGCACATAATATAAAGGACAGAAAGAGGCCTGTCCCTCCCTCCCGTGTTGCTTTTGTTGTTCTGTGGGCACCATGAACTGTTCTCCTCTGTGATGGCCTCTGTCAAGCCGCCCTGACTTGGAGCCAGCTGATTATGGACTGAAACCTCTATAAACTGTGAGCTAAATAAACATTTCCCCCTGTTAACTTTGGGTGTCAGATATTTTGTCTCAGCAATGAGAGAAAGTAACTAAGACACCCAGCAACTCTGCAGCCCAACAAGGAGCCCCCTGTGGTTGTCCTTTGGGTACATCCTGAGCGGGGTTCCCTGGAAAGGCAGGCCTGCCTCAGAAGCTACATCCATGGGCACCAGAGGTCTCTGCCCCATTCCCAGCTGCCCCTGAGCAGCATTGCCTCTGGCTGACCCTTCTTGAGTTCACTGCTAAATGCTCAGACTTGGTGTCTGGTCAAGCTTTGCCCCAGCCATGGCTACAGGTGCTCTGTGGACTTGGGAGCCAGGAAAGGACAGATCACGTCCCCATCACTGCCTGAAGCTGGTCTGAGAACCACAAGTGCAAGAAGTCTTGGAAAATTCTTCTTGAGGCCTATGTGGAGGAAAGAGCAGAGAGGAAATGTGCATCTAGTCTTGACAAATTTAATTTGTTCCCATATCCTCTTCACTTCCTTCCCTCCTCTTCCACTCTTCTTATGCTTCCTACCTCTCCAAGGGCCATGTTGTGGAGGGTTGGTCAAGATTTGTAGGTTACAGAAACATGAGGAAGAGATCACCTCAGCCCCTCCTTCCCTCCCTCCTCTCTGAAATAGCTTCACCTAAGCCCAGGTCAGAGGCTAGGGAGCTCACCAAGTTCTGAAGCCAACTGATGATTTCAGAGCACCCCTTTTGCACGTGACCAGCAGACCAGGCCAGTGACCAGTTCAGATGAGGCTAGCAATGCAGCAGATGGCAGGCATGGTGGAAGGCAAGGTCTCCGGACTACTCCTGACACAGCCATTAGATTAAGGCAATAATAAAGCCATAAACAAAGTCTTCCCACCTGAGTCACCGACCCAGATGCCATCCTATCACCTGAGAGCGCATCCCCTCTTGGTTGGCCATCCATGCCTGTGCCAGGGCACCCTGATTAGAAGGAGACAAGACTGCCAAGAACAAGAGGGTGAGGGGCAGCCCTCTGGGCTGGCTAACAGTGGCCCTGGCTGTTGTGTCTGCCCCGAGCCCCTGCACCTGCTGCCCCTGATGAACGACAAGTAGCAACAGATGAGCTAAGTGAGCGAGCGGGAAGGCTGAGAGCTTTGTCTGTGTTTGCAGCCCACGCACAAAAGCGGTTCCCCTGCCAACAACCAGGTGGCTTTGCCCAAATATGGAGAAACACTTCAGGCCATTAGTTCTGGTTTGAGCTAAGCAGAACAAACTAATCTTCCCCTGACCAAATGGGAATTAGCTGCCTGCCTCTCTGACGTTCAGTCAAGGTCCTTTGAGCCTGCCTGTTTCACAAGTACCTGCTAATGGATTCATTAGCTATTTATTTTTCCTTCTCTAAAAATGTAATTTGTAGCAAAGGGAAATCTCTGGAAGGACATGGTAAATTATTAAAAGCAGTAATCTTTGGGTAGTGGGATTATGGGAGCTTTTTGGCCCCTCTGGGCTTTTTTTTCCCATAATTGTTTTTTACATTGTATATATACAGGGATTTTTTTTTCCCTGTGGAGAAACCCACAAAAGTTATTTTCTTTTAGATGTAATTTGCCTTTCTCTGAGCTGGCTATCTGAGGATCTGCGGACACTGACTGCAGTTGGTGCTGTGGGCCCACCTGGATGCCCACCCAGGGCAGACTCCTGGTCATGTGGAGGTGGAAATGCCTAACTTGACAGTCCTGCTGCTTTACAGCAGCGGTGACATACAGAGCCTGGACCCTCCCACACCCGCCACTGTGGGTTGAGGGGGACTCAATCCCAGTGCTTTAGAACAGTCCTTAGTTTTCAATGCGAACAGACATCAAGAAGCCAGGTTTTCAGAGCCGTGAGCATCCAGACCTAGAATGTTCTCTGCCATAGGTCTGAACCAGCTTATGGATCTACTGTGAATAGCAACGACACGGTCCCCTCTGGGACTGAACTCCCCTACCCACACCCATGAAGTGTGGATACCACATCTGGAGGCCAAGGGTGGTGTATACATTCTGGTGACTGTCTTGGCTGGACCCAGCATCCCACCCACCCAACTGTTACATTCCTTGGGTCCATGTACTATCTCTGGGCTTTGGAGAGGGTGTTCAGTTTCCCCCCTACCCATGAAGGAGAGAGAATCAGAGAAAATAGCAGGGAATTCAGGAGCAGACTCCCCCCAGCCCAGTGGTGGGCTCATATAGCCCTGCAGATATGCACCAGCCCGCCAGTCCACTAGCCCAAGGTCACAAAGTAATTGGTCAAAAATCAAAGCCAAGCTCAAGTCGTCTCTGATGGCAAGAATCTGGCTCCTTCTATATTGGAACTATTACTTTGACCTTCCCACAGGGTAGATTTCAGGTCAGAGCTCTCAGGAAATAAGTTCAGAGATGTTTCCTTGGGTTGTGCTCCTTTCAGGGAAGCGTTAGGGACATTTCAGATGTGCTGTAAATGCCGGGTTTTGAATGACTGGCAAGACTATGTCGTGCCTCCTGCTCAGGTTAGGATTCAGTCTTTGCAGTTGTCCTCATTTAGCAGCTGGGAGCTCCCTTAATGATCCCATAAAAGCTTGTATATGTATATTTGTATTGTATTTGTATGTATACTTGTATTTGACACAAACATAACCCTTACCATAGCCCAGGGCCAATCCTACGCACACACTTGCCTTCCCTAGCCATGACACACACATGTTAGCTCACAGTATTGTCCCCGCCTCCCAAGTTATGAGTCAACCCAACCTGACAGAGTGGGACAGCCTGCCCAGGACTGCAGCTCACACACCTCCAAAGCCTGATTTCCAGTTCCTGTTGAGATCCACGCCAATGCAGAAGACTCCTGGTCTGATAGACTTGTTCTTCCGCCACAAACGGTTCTGAGAAAGCCCAGGTCAGGTGACCTCATTCACTGGGCCCACTCCCTGGGCATGGGAGTGCTGCCATCCTGGTTGATGAGGAGGGGTCTGGTGGGGTAGGGATGAGCAGAAGGAAGAACCCCCAGGACAAGATGGGGCTGGGCCAAGGCTGCAGGTCAGGTATGCTGTGGTTGAAGCCAAAGTTTAGGGGGAGGCCAGAGCACAGGCTGCCAATGGTGGGCAGGGGTTGGAGGGCAAGAGGCCATAACTGCAGGCCTGAGAAGCCCTCCTGTCCTCTGCGAAGCCCTCAGAGGGACCAGCTCCAGAGGACATGGGGGCCTTTCTTTGCTCCACTCCAGAACTGACTCCTGATTCCCAAGCTTCCCATGTATCCTCACCATGCTGTGGGTGAAAGCGAACCCATCAGGGTTGGTGACGAGCTCTATGAAGATGTCCATGGCCTTCAGTATGTTTGTCAAGATGCCGTCTTTGCCATACTCGCTGACAATCTGCAAGAAAGCTTGAGGGATGGGAGGCCCTGCTAGGATCTCCCCAGAGGTAGAACAGGACATTTGCACAGCCAGTGGCTGCAGAAAGGGGTGGTATTGGGCCATCCAAAATCAGAGGCTTGGATTTTAAACAACTGGAAGGCAGAGGATAAGACATGAGCTCTGTGCTGCCAAGAGCACCTGGTAGCTGTTCCAGGGGACAGGAGAGATAGAGCACCCTGAATTTGAGGGAATGAAGTTTCATTTTTCAGCTGGAGGTGACCTTAACTATTCAGGCAGCCCCTCCCTTTCCAGCCCCCATCACAGCTGCCCCTCGTATGCAAGTCCCTGCTGACCTTCTTGGCAGTCCAGATGCCAGTGGCATGAGTGATCCACTCCCGGGAGTGAATCCCAGTGTCGATCCAGATGGCCGGGCGCTGAGAGCCTCCAGTGCTGAACTGGGAAAAAGAACCAAAGAGGTTTGAATGGAGACCTCATGGTGCACTTGCTGGGGCTTCCTGGAAAGACGCCCCAGGTGCACTGACAGTGCCTGGGATGGCTCCATGGGCCAGATGTGCTTGGCCCAAGCACAAGTGAGGGTGAGTGAGGGTGCGCAGGTATCTGCACATGTGCCCAGCAAGTACTGGTGTTGGGAGACTTCGGCCATACGTGCTACTCTCAGAGGGCAAAATGAGATCCAGCGGGAAGCACAGGATTTCCCAGGACTGAGAACATCTGAAGATTAGTGCTTCTTGAACTTTAATAGGCACATGAATCAATCCCCTGGGGATCTTACTAAAATGCAGATTCTGATTCAGCAGGGCTAGCGAGGGTTCTGAGCGTTGGCATTTTTAACGTGCACCTTTCCAAGGAACAGCGATGCTCTGTGCAAGGACCACACTTTGGATATCAACGTCTTAGACAATACTAAAGAGAGACCGTGACGGCGTCTTGTAGGGGGATGGCAGCAGAAACAGGAGAGGCCAGAGGCCGAGCTATACAAGGCCGTCAGGCTGCTCAGGAGCACCCAGCCGAGCATGGCTGAGGGCATCAGGGATTATCTTTCCTGAAATCTGATGTCAAGTGCCCTGTAGGGCCCACGGGTACATTTTAAGGCACCTGCTAAGAACTGCTTTCTGGTGGGCTCTGCACTTATCCACCCTGCCTCCTTCATGCCAAGGGCACTACCATGGCCAGGTTTACTCAAGCCTTGCATCAGGGGCTCCTGTCAAGGCCTGAGAGGTCTGTCCAGAGATTCAGGCCTATCTGTGCGCCTCCCTGAACCGGATGACCTCAGTCACCATCAAATGAACCTTCCACATACCTAACGTTACCCATTTAGCAAGTAAAGCAACAGAGGCAACAGGAATAGCAATGACTCACCCACGAGCACATCCCCAGTCCAGGGTGACAACTGCCACTCTGTAGCTGCAACTCCTTAGCAACCCTCCCACCACTTCCTGCCTAGTCACCACACTGTCACCTGTCCATACTTCAAGGGTGGTTCCCTCAATGTCACCCGAGGACAGCGGTATACACATCTTCCTTCTCCTCAAAACTGCCACCCACCACTGCCCTTGAGAGCTCAACCTTGGGCCACAGGCTGTCACTGTGGTCTCCTGGCTGTCCCTGAGCTTTTACCTTCAGGACAAGAATGGACCGGTTTTCAAAGCTGTGGCCAATGTGAATTTTGGAGACGATATCTGAATGCTCAGTTACAAAGTTGTCGATCCAGCTGTAGATCTGAAAGGAATGAAGTCAGACTGGTAGGTAAACAGGAGACAGGTGAACCCCAATATGTCACAGAATACTCTCCTCCCCTACCCCCATCCACCTGCTTCATTGCTTTCCTACTCTCTTGAGAGTCTATAAGAATCAGATCAAGAATTGCAAAACTTGAAGATGCCCTCAGAGCTCAGGGCAGTGAGCATGACCCGCTGATTGCCAGGCCCTCCCCCCTGCGCAGAACAGTGCCTCCGCCTGGCAGATGAGCACAAACTGAGTCTGCCTGAGTGCCCAGCCCGAGCTGGTGGCTCTCTGTGGTTGGAAATTCTCCCTTGCCTTCATTCTTTGGCCCTTTCAGTCCATTTGACAGATCTCACACATACCTTCCAGTGTTTTTTTATTTTTTTAAATCCCTTTTAGACTCAGCCACCTGAAGGCAGGGTTCATGTTTTATTGACCTCTGGCATCAGTAATGAGACAGCTATTTTAATTCATTCTCTCAATCTTTCAATACACATAATTAAGAAATATAAGAAAGAAAATGGATTATCTAGTACAGGCCTTGTAAAATGAGAAAATGAGGATAATAAGAGAGTGGACAATATCGACAATATTATGTCCTTAACATAAAATGAAACCTGTGCCTTGAGTTTTCTTCAGGAGTGGTCATCTCTGCACCCTCCTTTTTTTTTTTTTTTTTTTTTTGCACCCTCCTTTATGTTCTCCTACACACTGCCCTTTGTAAACAAGTCACCATCAGCCACATCTGCCCTAGCTGCCACTGTGATCATGAATTTTTCTCCCAGCAAAGGCAACTCTGATTCTCTAATGCACCTGGCTTCCTGCCCCTTAGATCATTAACCACCTACAGCTGGGGCCACCAAACACCAAGACTGGTCATGGAGCAGTCAATGGATCCCCCACCAGAGGATGGGACATCAAGGCAGCTTTGGCCGAACCTGTCCTGGCCCATCATGGGTCCCCGCCCAGCAGTTGCTGTCTTGCCCAGCAGACTCTTCACTCTGCTCCATACCACTTAGGGCGGTACTGTTGAACAAAAGTCCCCTCTATCTGCTGGATTCTGGGCCACTTTAAGCTGAGTGCCTAGCAGACTATCTAATGTCTCCCCAAGTTCATAGCCTCGTACAGACCTCCGTTGGTCTCTGCCGGAGTCTGGAGACTAAGGGGCCCAGTTGCATGAGAGACATGGAGCTTGACCCAGACAGGCCTACCTCCTCCAGGGTGTGGTAAGAGGAGTAGCTGAAGCTACTGGTGCTGCGCTCCAGCCGGCGAGCCTTTGCCATGGCTTCTCTCTCCTCATCCAGCAGCACCTAGGAGAGGGGAACCGCATCAGAAGGGCAGGCAAGGGCTGGGCTGACTGGGCCTCTTTGGACCCAGTCTTGCTTGGCTGTCCATAAACATGGCATTGACGCAGGAAATCAAGCCACTGTGAGAATGTGCCACACAAAGGAAGACTGCCACGGGGGACGACTCTGCCGGCTGACTGGCATACACACTGCCATTTTTCAAATCAGCACAAGAGAAGGAGTCTGGAGAGCCAGGTTCTAGGTCTTTCCTGCCACCAACTCACTGTAGAACTGGCTGTGGGATTAGTTTCCCCAGCTTGAAATTTGAGGCAGCAATGTCTGTCTTATTGATGTAATAATGGATATGATGACATTTTGGAAATGACGTTCTTGGTCTACTGCCAACATTCATTAACATTCTGTTGAATCTGGACCCCAGCAGAACCATGGGCACTGACCCCTGGGGAGAGCAGAGGGTTCCTCTGACCCCCAGCATCAGCTCTAACACCCCTTAGATAGTAGCCTAAACAAGTGGTGTCAAGCCATTTGGAAAGATAGGTATGGACGAGTCTAGTCTCAATCATGATTAATGTGCCAGTGTCTTCATAAACCATGTCAGCTGCCTCCTAAACACAAATACAAGGGGAAAATGCAGGTCCTGTGTGCCAGTTTGGTGTTGGCACTCAGCCCTCCCATGCACTTCCCGCTGACCCTAGGAACTGCTCACATCATCCGGGGTCCTTTTCCAGCTTGGGTCACAGTGAGTTGGGCAGATGTCCTCCACCCAAGGTTGTACTCTTATCTCAGCACCCAGGGGCTAAGGCACCCCAGGATTCAGCACTGACTGTCCAGTACAGGAAATTCCACAGAGGATGCTGATCAGCACCCTCATCAACCCCAAAGCGTCCCTTGTTTACAGCTCTGGGTCACAACAGAGTCTGCAGGATGCTTTATTATGAGCCAGAGTCATATGGTTTATGAAGCATCTTTAAGCTCATGATCTCACTTGATCTGGTCAGACAACCAGATCCCAGGGCAAGGATTAATTCTTCTTGTTTTAGAGATAAAGAGACGGGAGAGATAACATGGCAAAGCTAACAACTGACAGAAGTAAGATAACTATATATTCCATTTCCTAGCCTTGGGTTCCTTGAGGCTAGCTATCCAAACTAAAGGCCAACAATAATAACATACACACGTAGATCTGTCTATCTATCTATCTATCTATCATCTATTTATCTAATCATCTATATGAAACAGAGGACACAAATCTAAAAAATGTTAACAATGGCTGAAAACTCCATTATAGTACTCTTGTAATTAAAAAGTTTTTTGAAATAATAAAAACCAAGTGCCCCTGAGCCTAAGAAAATAAGACACTAAAATGCCAAAAATATATACACCAAAATGCTAACAATGCCTATTAATATAGAAGATTGGGTCTTTGAGAAATTTTTTTCTCTATTTTTTCAGTTTACAATGTGCTTCTACTACTTCAGTAAGTAAGGACTCTTAAGTGAATAAATAATGCTAAACCCAAAAGCCCTAATGGCTATTGTGAAACAGCAGCAATGGGCTTCGATCCTGGGGCTGGGAGAGAGGGTCTCCCCACCTCCTGCTGCAGGGTCCATGACTAACACATCCTGCTAGAGGGTCCATGACTAATACATCCCTGAGGGCCCAACCCACTTGTTCGTGACTCTCAAGTTCGTAGATTTCAAAATGGGACTGAAAATCAATGTCTGGGGCTCATTTGATTTTATTTTTGAGCACTGATTACATGCTAGGCAATGATAATTGCAATATTTTCCAGCTGACTGACGAGGCTGAGGCACTCCCCCTTGGGCAAAGCTGGGATTACTAGTTAAGTTAAACATGGCTGGAGAAACCCTGATCCTTGCTGGCCACCCCTGACAAGTACCACCCTGGGAAGCTCTGCCAGAAGGAATGCGCCTTCTTCCCAGGAAATCCAGTCAAATCTCAGCAGCCCACCATGACCGATGTGTGCCTGCCACTATGGGCTGATGACCAGCTGTGGTAAACAGCTGCAGGGACAGCAGCTGGGCCAGGGCAGGCCTGGTCCCTGCTTGTGCTCATTAGAATGAAGTTACAGGGATCAGGGGCCTAACCTGCTAGGTTCTGGCAGGGATCTGAGGCAGGGTGAAAAGCAGAGAGAAGAAACTGGGAAGACAGGACCAGGAGGGTGCAGTTCTTCCCACCCAGCCAGGTACACTCACGGGAAGAGTTCCCGCGAGGGCACCTTTTGTTCCACAACAGCTTGGAAGCAAATGGGAGGTCAGCACCACTCTACAAATAACACCAGACGCTCTCCCAACCTTGCGAATGGATAGGACACCCTCTTACGAGTTGGGAATGCTTGGACCTCACAGCTGGGCCCCAGTTCCAGGAACACTAATCCACCCTGGACAGAACACTGCACAGATGTTTATTCCCTTCCCAGAGTCAAAGGAAGAGGATGGGAGAGCTAAGAATGCGGCCTCGATACAGGCTCAGGATGCCTAATTATGGTCCTGTCAGGCTCCTCAGGAAAACACAAAAAAGACCAAGAAACTCAGAAGTCAACCATTCGCCTCCCCGGAAGCCATAACCTAACAGAGACAGTAATACTTTGGTGCCAATTAATTTATGACAAGGGTAAGGAATGCAGGGGGCGTTTAGTAAAGAACAGTACCCAGGGTAGGACAGCGAGGAGGCCAAGGGCCTGAAGGTGGAGCTGAGGCCTGCAGCAAGCGGACCTCTCAGCACTGACCCTCCCAGGAACACGGTGGGGAGTGCTGTGGCGATGTCTCCCCTCGTGGCAGCTCCAGCTCTCTCTTCCCCACCTCACGTTTGCTCTGTGGGCAGAGGCAGTGACAATGCGCATTTGCGGGGGGCGGGGGGGCTGCAGACCTTTAGTTGTTAGAACAGAGCCCCTCAGAGCTCAAAGCTGAAACTCTGACTTCACTGCCAAAGGGCAAAGTTAAAACAACACACAGACAGGAAGAGAGGCAGATGGCACAGGAGCAGAGAGTGTGGCTGCCAGAGCCAGGCTGTCTTTAGTGAGACCCCGACTCGGACAAATTACTAACTTTCCCATGCCTCAGTTTCCCTCATGAAATGGCAGTCATGTCATCACATACTTTGGCATATACTTTCAGTTGTTCTCATGTGGATTGCAGAGACTAAGGCCTACTGCCCAGCATGTAGTAAATGCTAACAAATGCTAGCTGTAGTGCTAACGCCACCGATGGCTACAGGGACAAGAGTAACTGCCAGGGTGACTCCAGGTTTCTGTGATGGGTCATTACAAGGCATGGCGAGGAAATCTGGAGTGAGTCTGTCAGGCTTGGATGGCAGATGCCCCATTAATGGCGGACACCCCACTTGAGCACCAAGTTAGCACCTGTCCCTCATGTGGCCCAACCTAGGAAGCTGGGTCCCCTTCTGTCCCTGCCTGTTTTTTAAATTTCAGAACAGGGTATCACTACATAGCCCAGGCCGGCCTCGAACTCAGCAATCCTCCTGCCTCAGCCTCCCAACTGCTAGGATTACAGGCGTGCACCACGACACCTAGCCTGTCCTTGCCCTCTATTTGCAGCCAGGCTCGGCTTCTCCCTTAAGGTCTCGCCCACAGTTCCTCCCTTCTTGCCTGCCTTCTCCTGCAATGCTCCCTGCTTCTCCCCTTGAGAGCCAGTGCCCACCTGCACCAGCCCACAGCATCTCTGCTTTAAAACCCTCCATCCAGCCAAGGAATACGTGTTGAGCACGCACTTCGGGCACTAGGGCACGCAGCCAACAAACAAAACTGTGTCCTTGTGGCACTCCCAGTCTAGTGGGGAAGACAGGAAATCAACAAGGGAAAGAGGTAAATTGTATAGGACATGAGAACAGGGAAAATGCCAAGGAGCATGGAGCAGGGGAGGAGCCGGCGTTAGGGAAGTAGTGGGGAAAGGGTACAATTTAAAATAAGAGGAAGAGGGGATGTGTGAGCAAGGTTTTAAAAGCAGTGAGTGAATCAGCCAAGCAAATATCTGCAGGGTGAGCACTCCAAAGATGGAGGGCCAGCAAACGCAAAGGCCCTGAGGCAGTAATGGGTCGGGTAAGTTCAAGGAACATCAAGGAAGCCCATGTGTGTGCAGCAGAATAAGCAAGGGGCAGAAGAGGGAACAGATCATGTGGAGCCATGTGACCACTTTCGGAACTTTGGCTTTTACTCTGAGTTGAAGAGAAGGCACTGGTGGGTTTTGGGCAGAGGAGTGACAGGATTGGACTTACAGATGTTCAGAGACCTGTACGGCTAATCCAACTGAGGGAGGACAGCTTGCAGACCAGGCTTGATGTCCTGAGCTATATTCTGAGGGAAGAGCCCAAGAGATTTGCTGGTGGATTGCATGTGGGTGTGAGCGGAGTCCGGAATGACTCTAAGTTCCGTGATTGGGTGGCTGGGGGGACAGCGTTGCCATTTCCTGAGCTGGGGAAGGCTGTGGAGGAGATAAGGGCTGGGGTGACCTAAGGGGCTGGAGGGGCCCACCAGACCCCCGGTGGAAATGGTGAGGAGGGGCCAGATACAGGAACCCAGAGCCGGGGGAGAGGGGCAGGCTGGAGCCAGGATAATAAGCCAGTCTTGAGGAGGTGGGAGGGGTTTGTGCCACATCCGGATGAGGGAGCAGGAAACCTACAGGCAAAGAGGAAGCAAAGAAGCTAGGACAAGGCAGGACAGCGAGGGCCCTGGGAGAGCAGGGACGTGGCTCGGGGAGGAACAGCACAGCTCGGGGAGGAACAGCACAGGCTGATTACGAGAGGTGGACGCGGGGAGTTGACTGCCGAGCTGGACCTAGCGTTTGGTTGCCACTGTCAGTCCAGGGTAGCTTTGCAGAAGGGAGGGCCAGGCCGCCCGCCAACATGGGCACCACCAGGGTAAGAAGTCATGTTCCCAGGAGTTTTGCTTTACAAGAAGTAGAGGAATTGGGGCGATAGCTGGAGTGGGGAAGGGAGGGGGATCAAGACAGGATTTTTTTAAGATGGGATAAATAACTATTTGGATGCAGGCGAGAATAATCCAATAGAGAAGGGGGAACTGTATTCTGCCCTAGATGGTCGGAGCATGGATGATTTTTGTTTTCTTCTTATGCTTTTCCCCTATTTCCCAAATTATCTAACATGAATATTTATTAATTTTGTAATCAGAAAAAAAGCCATTAAAATCCACAGCACTGATTGCTCAAGTGAAGCTTTTCCATGGTGACTCATCCTAGGGGGAAAAAAAGCAGCAAAGGGCTGCAAAGAAGGAGGAGGTGAAGAAAAATTAAATGCAAATAGAGCTCACTCAGAATCAGATAATTTCTTGCCTGGCCCACTGCAATTTCCTCACCATCCTCCTTCCTGTCTCTACCGGGCCTGTCCCCAGCTCAGCACTGTCGCTGGCAGAGTGGTTTTTCTGAAATGCAAATCTGATCAAAGCCCCTTAAAGTCTTCCCCACAGTTTGGGGGATACAATCCTGACCTCCGAGCGGGGAGAAAGTGCCCTCTGCGGAGCAGCACGGCCCGGTCGCCACTGGAGCAGAGGGCTCCCTCCCCTTGCCCAGCCCCCTCCCTGCTCTGCAGCCGCCACACACCGTAATTACCACCTTTTCAGCTCAAGACGTGCAGCGCCTCTTGTATTCTGCTCCCATAGCAACCTGCTCCCTCTCCATCGGTGCACTCATCCACTCCATTGTAATCACCGATTGACTCCCCTCCCCCACCCCCACACTCTCCCACTCCCCTGGATACAGCCCCGGTCGGTTTTTATCTTTGTGTTTCCAGCGCCTTGCCGCATCTAGGCACACAGTAGGCATCTCTGTGTCTGTGAGTGAGTGGACAGAGCCACCTCATTTTTCTCGGGCACCTGCCGGTCCCAGAGCCAGGGAACGTGCACTTCCTTTCCTTAAAAATCTCCCAGGCCTCTGGCCAAAATGAAAGCCAAAAGCAGGGGTTGTTGCCCTTTCTCTCAGCCTGCACCCAGCGCCAAACACACCCTCTCTTCTTCCCTTTCCTCTTCACATCCATTAATTCGATTAGCATTTATTAAGCACCAGCTAAGCGTCAGGAGTGTCAGGATGGATGAAGCTAATGCAACCTGGACCTTGAGGGGCAGAAGGGAGGGGGCCAGGGAGAGAAAACAACACATCAATAAGCACAGGCCTGTGCCAAAACAAGGGGGTAATTCCTTCTGGGGATAACTATTAAGGGTCCACTATGCAGGGCATACCATGCCGAGGGCAGGGGCTGGGACGATCCATAGGACAGAGAAAAGAGCTAGGCTTGTGTGTCCATCTCTGAAATCAGCCTGGTCACCAACAGCCTGGGTTCCAAGAAGCCCTTCCCATCCCTCAGCTGGTGCATGGCTCAGTCCTCTCCTGGGATCCACCCCCCATCACCACAAATTCATGGGAACAATAGCCGCCCCCCACCTGCAGCACCCTAGAAGCCACAGCGCAATCTCCAGGAAGCAGTCAGTGCTTGATGCTCAGTAGACCATGGCCTGCTTGGGAAACTCCTGCCTGGCTGGGTTAGGGCATTTTCCTGGGAGATCGCAACCCCCCCCCCAGGGGGAATGGGTGGGTAAAGAGGGGACCAGCAGAGAAGAATCAGAGCACAGATCCAGAGGAGCCAGTGGGGCAGGCTCAGAGGTGACTCTGGGGCTGTCCCTCATGTGCAGAATTCAACAAAAAGTTTTACCAGACCTCTGCATATCTGTCTGCCAAATGCTGCAGGGGTTCCCGGAGTGCAGCAGAAACGAGGAAAGGCAAACTTCAAAACAGAGGCATGAGCTAAAAATGAGAATTAGATTCTATTTCTTTTGATGTGGTGGCCTCTTTTGTCTGTGGGAGTTTCTCCATTTTTGTTTGTGGGGGATTTAATTAGAGAAACATCCCACCCTCGCATGTTGAGCGAGGAAACAGATGTGCCTGATGAGGGATAAAGGACTTTGAATGGACCAAGAGCCCCAGCCCTATGCTCGCATGGGAAAGGAATGCTGTCTAATGCGTTTATCCCTTGGCATGTGATGTCAAGTGTGTGTGCTCTGGGAGGCTCTGTGTTCCCACACTCCAAGCCCTTAGAAGAGATTAGCGCTGAACATCATGTCAGGAATGAATCTCTGTGGATACAGTTCCACAGGTACACGGCCAGCAACTGCATAGGAGAAAGGATGCAGTGGAAGGCTTAATGGCTGCGTGGTACCCAAAAGAATCATTTCCGAAGAAAGCTGTGCCACTAGCACCTTTCAAAGGATCTTCAGGACGTCACTAAAGACAGGACAGTGGAAATAGAATTTCATGTTCAGAGAAGACGCTGGACTGTGCAGCATCAGATGTGGTGTGGGGGTTAGGGTGCTCACGAGGAAGGGTCGGGTCTGCAGCCTTTCACCCAGAACTGTTCCTCTGGGACATTCCTGCCTGGGAGAGAAGCCCCAGCACAGACAGCCCTACAGCAGCAGGAGGAAAGCGTGGCAAGGGTCACACTAAGCTTCCTTTACTACCCCTAGCTTCTCTAGAGAACATGAACACTCCCACCCACCACCACCCTCCACCCCCAGCATTTTATTGCTGAAACTAAGGGGGACAGGAGGGAGCAGTCAGAAAGGCAAAGTCTATCAGAGGTGCCTGGGAAAGGCCTGAGTGATTTCCTCCTCTCCGCAGCCTTCCTGTCTCCTGCTTTGTTGTTAGCTGTAAATTCCTCCCGGAGAGGATGCACTGCAGTATCCTGCCACTGCCCCGTTATGAGTACTCTTCACCTCCATTAGCTCTGCCCTTAGGCTTAAATGTTCTCTGAGAAATGTGCAACCTAATTCCTTCCACGGCATGTTCATAAACACACAGATGGAGATCCAGAAGCAAAGTGCCACTTTCAGCCTGAGTATTTTTCCTCCCTAATGAGTCCCAATAGAAAAGGATAGAGAAGGTGAGAGCCCTGCCTGTGGACCAGGGTGAGATCTCACCTGGACATTCTTAATCATAACGCTGTAAGCAAGGCCATGAGACTCCAAGTAAGCTTTGATGTCATCCAGTTCAGAAAAAGGAACTCTCATGTCCACAGGAAGGCTGGGTCTGGCTGGGCCACGCCAGAAGTCCACCTTGTTCACAAAGGAGAGAAAAACACGCATTTATTGCCCGTCCTTTGGCACCCCTGCAGGTACCCTGGAGAGACAAATGGTTCCCTGTTATACTTAGAAGGGCTCCAGTTCCATAATGAAAATGCTAAAGTGAACAGAAAGACAGGGATAAATAGACAATAAAATCCCCTGGTCACCAAGTTTCCTTCCCCTCTTTGTCTCTCTCCCAGCCTCATTTACTCTTTGCTCCTTGGCCTGAATCCACAGACCCCTAAAGAATTCCTAAGGTGAGACAGTCCATCATGTAGGACAAGAGCCCAGGTCAGAAGAAGGAGGCATCATTGCTCCCAACCCATTGGAGAAGCAGGAAAGGCCTAATCTGGACCCCATGTCCTAAATGTTTCTCATCTGTAAAATGCAGAAACCCAGAAAGTGTGATGAGCCTGCACTGACACGGATACTCAGGAGCAGTGGCTTTGGACCACCTGCAGACATGTCCAATTGTTTTAACAGCCTTGAAAAAAAAAACCCTTCTACTGCAACTGTCAAAAAGAATTTTCCATTGTAAAAACTTGTAGAGGACAAATGTTCTCAGAAACAAATGCTTGGGCTGGCAGGGATGAACCCAAGCGAAACACAGGTTTCCCAAGCTGAGCCATTCCAGTGGGAAGCAGATGTGTCCAGTCTTTGTGCTGTGTGGATCCCACTGGGGACATTTGGGCCTCCTCTGGTTCTTTCTGAGAGGATGACTTTTCTTTTTTTTTTTTTTTTTTTTGGTACCGGGAATCAAACTCAAGACCTTGTGCTTGCAAGGCAGGCACTTGTACCACTGAGTTACATCCCCTGGGCCTCCTAAGTTCAAGCCATTTTCGGGGTCCATTCAGCAGCCCTCTGTCTTTGATCCAGGACCAAGGGGAAAACTAGAGAAGCCAGGGCCTAGAAAGGCCTCCCAAAGCTGTCGGCAAGTGTGCCTAGGCTTTCCCGAAGGGGAGCCACATTTGACTTTTCTAGTTTTGTGACTGTTGACAAAGACCTCAGGAGGGCAGGTTTGGGGTTGGGGAAGCAGGACAGAGAGCCGAGGTGCAGGAGACGTGGAGGGGGGTGGCTCCCAAGTCCTGACCTGCAGGCCTCACCTTCTGGGGTTTGAGGGACTCCAGATCCCTGAGAAGTGACAGCTGCTTCTCATCTTTGGCCAGGATGCGAAGAACCTGGTCTCTGAAAAAACACAGCAAAGGCAGACAGAGCTGTGGAGATGCCTCCTGCGGGCTGAGTGACTCAGAAGAGTCAGAGTGGATAGGCGTACAGATAAGGGGCCAGGAGGAAGGCCTGGAGCTCTGGGAGCCACAGCTCTTCAGCGTAAAGCCAGGGGTCCCTCCAGCCCCCAGACCAGACCACCCAGGGGATTAAGTAAAGCCTGCCACTGCTACTACTGAATCTACACACACAGAGAACAAAAGGAACAGATACAGGGGCTGGAGGGGGCCGATGACAGCCCCAAGTGCTCTTCATACAGGAACACCCAGGCCACGCAAGAGATTGAACAGCCACATCCCACCTTAGTAGGGGGAACTGAGCTCCTTCCCTTCTAGCTGGGTGGACAAGAGGCCAAAAACAAGCCGCCTGCAGTGTGCCACCAGCACCTGATGCCTGGGGTGGTGTGAGTTCCCTCCTTGGCTGAGATCATGGGTGACGAACCCACTCTCTGAGCGATGTGTCCTCTGCTATAAAAATCTGTAGAGCATCTCTACCTTCTGGGATCCTTGGGGTGCTCACAAATCATGTCCACAGAGGGCCTAGGGTATGTGCATACTAGAACTTTCTGTTACTCAAAGGAGGACAACACCACACCACTCTCGGTCGGAGTACATAGTCTCATGGAAGTTTACTAACTGCTTTAAGAATCTAAGGAAAAATATGAATTTTTCATCTGCCAAAGAAATACATATACTAATTCATATGATTTCAGGGGATTCCTAGAACCCTGAAAACTTACCTCTGGACCTCAGACTTAGGAAGACACAGTAACACCACTGAGTGGCATGGAGCAAAAGAGGGAGACACTAGGAAGCCAGAAGTAGGTTCTGAATGGAGATAGAAGTCCCAACTTCTCTGCTTTTATCCAGTTCCAGCAGGACAGACACACACATCTAGCTGCTGGGACACCCAGGTCCCCTGGCTCCGAGAGCCAGTATTCCCTCTCTCTGAGGAGAGGCCACTTACCCTGTGAAATTCATTTGGCCCCAAGCCGCTGCCAGGATAAAGCTGCAGAGCAAGAGTGTCCACTTGTTCACAGGAGGTGGTCTGGGGCCCAGGCCTCGTCTGGGGGTTCCCTGCATGCTTCTTCCTCCAGATGAGCTTCCAGAGCTTTCCTCACTCCCAGGCATGGCCCAGGCCTCCGGGCAGTGCAGCACCTAAAAGTGGCTGGCAGCTCCAGCCTGAGAAGGGCATTAGGCTCTGTCACAGGGAATGGCACCCAGCATATGGCGCCCACATGCTAGGTCTTGGGGAAGCCAGGCCAACCCCACACCCTACCCTCCCTAGGCAAATCTTCTGCAAAGGGGAGAGGGAAGAGAGAAAGAGGACAACAAGGTCCTTAGCTTTCCATTCCTCTATGGGGGACTTAGGAACACTGACTAGCCCAACCTCATCATGAGCCTCAAATCCTCCATCTCCAGGGAAAGAGGAGTAGCTATCAGCCCCAGAGCATCACTCCTTTCTTCCCTCCTCTATGAAACTGGCTCCTCTGTACTCTTCCTCCTTCCCTGTCCATGCACACTGTCCCCAGGCCACATCCTCCTGGCACATGAGGGTGTGCACTGCATTGAAAGGCCGTTGGGCTCAGAGACAGAAAACCGGGGGCTCAACTCCCGTCTAAAACATCTGGGCCGCTGATCTAATTCTGCTAAACCTGTCAATTAATTCATCAGTTAGATGAGGTTAATAACACCTCTCCTCCCTACCTCTTGAGGATTTGGGGGGTAGTAGATGAGACAACCTGGGTGAACTGGTTTGGCAAAGCCTAAAAAACATAATGTATTATTATTTCAGAGGCATTAACTCTCAGTCACGGTTGCTTTTCAGGTCTCCGCTGCATAGCCAGGAGAAGGGGAAGAGAAGAGAATGGAGAGGACAGGGGAGGGGAAAGGATGAGAGGAGAAGAGAGGACAGGGAGGGGAGGGGAGGGGAGGAAAAGGGAAGAGAGGAGAGGACAGGTTAAGGGAGTGGAGGGGAGGGGAGAGGAGAGGAGAGGAGAGGAGAGGAGAGGAGAAGAGAGGAGAAGAGAGAAAATATATACTGTATGAGAAAAAATTGGGCCAAGATCCCTGTCTCTGTTGTTAGGGAGTCACCATTCTGTTGGGACAGGCAGTGTGTTTTCTGCTGGACATGAAAACCACTGGAGTCATTATTATAGTTCTCAGCCTATAGCAGAGTCTGTTTCTCGGTCCTGCTGGAGCCCCACACAGCCCAATTCACAGTCTGGGAATAGCAGGAATAAAGCAGCACACAAAGCCGTCATATTGGAAGGAAAAAGCAAAAGATGATGCCTGAATGGTAAATGATGAATCTAACAGAAAATCCACAGGAGGTAGGGGAAAGGCAGAGACAAATCCAACCAAGTTGTTCCATAGAGGACATCAACAAAAGGCCACTTAACTGTCACTGGCGAGTCTCAGAAGCCCCCCTCCCCATACATCCCTTCCCAGAATGGCCAATTAACCAGCCCTGTGTGTGAGGGGGAAGCTGGCCTATTGACAGAAAGCCCCGCTCGCTCCCCACCTCTCCTGCCTTACTCCATGATTTCATGGGTCAGCTGTTCAGACGCGCCGAACTCTCCTAGAACCCCGGCTTCAGCTTTGGCTTCGGGAGCTCACAGACAGAAACATTAGCAAAGGGTTTAAGGACCTAGAAAAGAAAGCAATTATGCTTTCCCTTCAAAGAACATGCTGCTTTAGTGGCAATGGGAAGAAAAGAATGTGCTGGTAAACAATAGCTTAGGAGTTGAAAAGAAAAAGGTGGGGATGGTATTAGTCACCAAAAGCACCCAGCATCTTCTTGCTCAAAAGCATCATTTTAAGTCACTAACAATGAGACAGCTATCCCTGTACTTGGTTTAGGGATGGGAGAGAGAGAGAAGAGCGAGGGCAAGAGTAAAAGAGAAAGAGAGAGGAGTGGTTTTAGGAATTCCTGAGAATTCTATAGCAGCACTTTCCATAGAATTTTCAGTGATAATGGAAATATTCTATGCCCATGCTGTCCAGTACGGTAGTCACTAGGCACCCGACACGTGGCTAGTGTGACTGAAGAATTGAATTTTAAATGTTATCTAATTTTAATTAATTTAAAATTTAAATAGCTATATGTGGTAAATGGCTATCATATTGGACAACAGAGTTCAAAGGGAAAATTCACCAGCCCTAAAAGCACTGCTTCTAATAGCTGGATTTGATGCAGAAACACACAGCTGTGTTTGATCCAATGGCTCATATTGATTTTTCACTCATAATTAACTGCTCATTAATCATTTACTCAATAAATGTCTGCTCAGCACCTACTATGTGCCAGGTCCTTACACAGATCTGAGAGTAAATAGAGAATAACACCACCCTGGCCTTGATATTTCTAATGGAGTAAGTAGGTAATTGAGGAGCACACAGGCAGATAGAAGAATAGAGCTGTGGACAGGCCATGTGAAAGCCATCCATGTGGACTGAGGAGAGGTCTCCCTAAAAACATTTTGTTGGAGGACTTTTATTTCCTGCAGGTGGGCAGGTCAGATCACTACACAATACTGCTCGAATGAGACAACTCGATGTACAGGATTTTAAAAAATTAGAAAAATATTTTTTAATTTTTAAGAAAATGCATCAAAAATGCTACTGGTTTGGCACAAAAGCAAGCATTTACAAATTTTCCAAAGGTCATAACAGCTGACAGATACCTGAGAGGTAAGCAAACTTTCCCCTGAGGATTTTCTCAGAATGCCAGAATTCTGGATTTTCTTCCTAAATGTGCACTTTGTATCCAGGACTATTTTCCTTCTGCTTCTAGTCTGTCTTTAAAAACTTCCCCTCCCCGGGAGGTGGTGGGGGTGGGGGTGGGGGGTTACTTTCCTTAAACATAAATCTCTGCTTTTATTTATTTGAAAAGTCTTCATTTCACTCTCACTCTTGAAAGAGTTTTGCTGGGTATAAGTTATTGTTTTTATCTCAGCACACTGAAAATATTAGCCCATAGTCTCTGGCTTCCAGTTTTGCTGTTTAATCAGCTAGTGTACTTTGTGTTCTGTAGGAAAGAATCTTTTCCATTCCCACTTGCTTTGAAGATTGCTTTGCCTTTGATGTTTTGTAGTTTTACTATCATGTATTCTTCAGATACCTCATAATATATGTAAGTATAGATTCCTTTGTTCTATCCAGCTTGAGGATGATTTAGTTTCCTGCATTTAGGTATTGCTCTCTTTCCACTGTTTTCAAAATTTCTCAGACATTATATTTTTAAACATTGCCTCTTTTGTACTCTCCATTACCTTCTCCCAGAACTTTTGATTAGATAGATGTTAGCTCTTCTCATGCTATTCTCCAAGACTTTGAACTATTCCGTTATATTTCTATTTCATTTTCTCTCTGCCCTACATTCTAGATCACTTATTTGTATCAAATATTTGTCTGTTTATCCAGTTAACTGATTTTTTTATCAACCAAATTTAATCTGCAGTTTCACTGATCTTCTAAGCTGTAATTTTCAGTTGCCACAGTGTATCAATGCTGAAACAAATTCTTCCCACATTTTCACACCTCTGAAATCAGGATGCATCATACAACTGGTGGCATCTTATAATAAGTGGCAGTGTTTCTGATGGCACATAAAATTGTGGTGGATCTCATAATCAAGCCTGTTTTACAGTCAACACAATATGGTATTTATTTTTTCCCTTTTAGAAGTTCCATCTGATTCTTTTCTGAGTCCAAATTACCAAAACTTCATATCTATTTTAAAACTTCTTGTTTGTTTCCTTAAATTTATGAAACATAGTTATTTTTTATTCTGTGTGATACAATTACAGTACCTTACAAAGTCTTTGTAAGTCTTCTGCTACATACTATTTCTGCTGGTTCTCATTCATGGTGCCTTGTGATGGGTTTTAGTCATTTGTCCATGAACTGATCATTTTCTTTGAACATTTATCTGTGGAAACCCTTTGAGGCCTGGGTCAAGTCCCATTCCTCAAGAGACGATAAGCAGTTATTTCTCTGAGTTGCCTTGAGGTCATTACCAACCTGAAATCCCTCTACATTAAATTAGATGTTGAATCATTTTTTAGACTGCATAGTTAACATACATGTAGACCTGTCTTGGTTACTTTTCTCTCATTGCTGGGACAAAATACTTGACGCCCAAAATGAAGGAAGGAAAGGTTTATTTTGCTTACAGTTTGTGGAGGTTTCAGTCCATGCTTGGCAGGTTACAAGGCAGAATGGCACATGGCAGAAGGCTACAGCTCATGGTGGCAGAACACAGCCAAATCAACAAAAACACACACAAGGGAGGAATGGCCTCAAGCAGCCTCTTCCTCTCCCTTACATATGCAAACTATCCACCCCAGGGTGGGTGTAGCTCTCACACCCATAATCAATCAGTCTCTAAAAGCCTGCCCCATGGCCGCATGAGGCTTTGGGGGGACACACAGACACAAACCATAACACCTCAAATGTCTATCAGTCTAACTTATGGCCATGAATTCTCAGATGTTTTTTCCTGGGATTGCTTCATGCCAAGGTTTAAATCCTGGGCGACAATAGCACACTATCTGCAACCAGGTAATCAGAGTTAAAGAATTCTAAGGCCCTGGGATTTTTGGAAGAAAGGATGAGTATTTATAATGTTTTTTAGACCAGGTGTGTATACATGTTTAAACAGCTAAGTAACAACTAAAATGGTGGGCACAGAGCATGTATCTTCCAAAGAGAAAAGGTTAAAGATGAGAAAAGAAGAAGTTGGGGAGAAAAAAATAAACCAAAAGGGGTAAAAAAAATTTTAAAAAGGAACTTTAATTTTTTTATTTTTATTTTTGATGCTGAGAATTAAACCAAAGAAGCACACATTCTACCACTGAGCCATACCCCTAGCCATCCTCTCCAAAAAAGGAATTTTAAAAAGTGGAACAAACCAAAAGGACATTAAAGAAAATGCTTACTTGAATATATTTATAATAATACTAAATATAAATGTATTTAACTGTCCAGCAAAAGATGAAGACAATCGGAATAGATTTTTAAAAATCTATCTATACATTCAAAAGAGATACTCTTAAAACTTAAGAACATTCGATTCTCAGTACCAAAGAAAAACATGAAAACAAAGTCAACGATGGAAAGAAAATATTCCAGAGAAATGCTAACAAAAGCAAGCACCTATATAGTTTTATTAATATAAATACAATAAACTTTAAGGCAAAAGGCATTATTTTAAATGATACTACTTACCTAATGGTACTACTTTCAATTTCCCAAAAATATTTAATGTATAAAAATACCCAGAAGTAATTCTAACAAGTAATGAAAAATCCTTCTTGGAGACAATTATAAAATGTTATGAGAAATGCTGAAGTTCTAAATAATTTTAAAGATATTCTCTGTTCTTGGATAAGAAAATTCAGTCATAAGATTATCCATTCTTCCCAAATAGATCTAGATATTCAGTGTAATTCCAGCCAAAAGTCCAATAGTTCCACCAAATGTCACAAGCTGATAAAAATATATATGAAAAAACAAAGAGCCTAAAAGCAGTCAAGTCAATCCTAAAGAAGGTGAGAGAATCTACACCAGATATTACATCAGGGTCTTGCTAAGTCACTAAGTTGCACAGGTGGGACTTGAACTTGCAGTCCTCCTGTGTCAGGCTCCTGGAGTGCTGGGTGTGTGCCACCACGCTCACTTAAAGCTGTAATTATTGAGACAATGTAGTACTGTAGCGAGACAAACAGATCATAGCACAAAAACAAACCTAAGCATACTTGGAAATTTCATCTTTTCAGACTCAGCATACCAGACATGGAACACATAGACTATACAATAAATGTTGCTGGGAAAATTATAGATCTACATAGGGAAATGAAATTAAATGACTAGGGGCTGGGGATTTAGCTCAGCGGCAAAGCGCCTGCCTGGCAAGCGCAAGGTCGTGAGTTCGGTTCCCGGTACCGGAGAAAAACCAAAAAAAAAAAAAAAAAAAAAAAAAAAAAAAAAGAAAAGAAATTAAATGACTATAACACCACATACAAAAATTCCAGGCAGATTAAAATTCTTAAATGTAAAAGGCAAAACTATAAGCTGGGAGTGATGGGCTACAAAATGAGTTCAAGACCAGCCTGAACAACATAGTGAAACCCTATGTCCCACACACACAAAAAAAAGAAGCAAAACTATAAAACCCTTAGAAGACAAGAAGGCAAGATAGCGGATATCTTTATGACATGATAAGGAATCATTTTTCTAAACAAGATATAAAAGGTAAAACCAAAAAGTTAACCCACAAAAATTCCCATAAAGGGAAAGACAGATAAAAATTAGCTACATAGGGTTAGGGATATAGCTCAGTGACACAGTGCCTGCCTAGCAAGCTCAAGGTCCTGAATTCCATTTTTGGTACCAAGAAAAAAAATTAGCTGTATAAAAATCAAGAATTTTTAGTTAGGGAGGTCTATACTGTCAGCTACTTGGGAGGCTGGGGCAGAAGATCCTTTGAGCCCGGGACTCGTAGACTAGCCTGGACAACCTAGTGAGTCTGTGCATCTTTAAAAGAAAAAAATTAAAAACTAAGTAAAGTACTTCTGTTCTTAAGACTCTTTATTGAGAGTAGAAAGCAGACCTCAAACTAAGAGGATATATTTGTAGCATATAAAGCAGGTAAAGAATTAATATCCAGGATATATAAAGAATGTCTGTGAATTAACTTTTTTAACAGGTAAAAAACCTGAAATTCTATGTCACAGAACAAGACTCACAAATAATCTGTAATCATACCAAAAAAATCACAACTAGAGAAAGGAAATTAAAAGCACAATAAAATTACTAGACCTTACCACCAAATAGGCAAGAGTTAAGGATATGGGACAATACAATCTCTCATCCCCTCACTTCAGAAAGTTGGTGAAATCACTTTACCTATGAAAG